CCTTGGGGTTGGAGAGCGATGACCCCAGCCCCATGGTGAACCCCAGGGGCCCAAATGGCTCAGGGGCCATCCCGGCTCCAGGGGCTCCCAATGTAGCCAACATCTTTGCTACCAACTATGCATTTCTCCAGCCAACAAATCAGCAGCGTTTGGACCTGGGAAAAACAAACTGATTCCCTTTTTTTCCCCCTTTCCCTTTTTCTTTTTTTTTTTTTTAAAGACTCTGGAAAACTTTCCTGGTGGTCGGTTCTGGTTCTTCTCTTTTCTTCTTGTTGGGGTTTGGGAGATTTTTGGTCCAATGATTTTTTTTTTTTTTTAATGAATTTCCAAGAGAAAAGTCTTCCGTGGCGATGCGGGACTGGGAGAGGCACTGGGGGAGGTCGTGCTAAGTCGGGGTGCCCCCCAGCCCCTTGGCAAAGCTGGATCCCCAAAGGCACATCTGTGCCTGGAGAGCTTCCCATCGGCAAATTGAAGACACGGCATCTGCAAACGTGGGTGCCCAGGGATGCTCCTGCACAAGCAATAACAACCCACCCAAAGCTGGGCTCTGAAGAGGCAACAGCAAGAAACAGAAGGGGGAAGGAAGGCAAAATGAGGCCAAGGTCATTAAATGAGGAGGAGCAGCCCTGGGGTGATGCAAGGCCCTGTCTTTGCATCCGCCCAAGCCACCGTGGGAGCAGCAGGGTGGGGAGTCAGGATTCCTGCAGTGCAAAGGCGGTTTTGGGTCCATTTTCCTTGGCTTGCAAAGTCTGCAGCAGAGCAGGAGCTGGCTCGTCCTGTGCAGGGGGGCCCGTACAGCCCATGGAAGAAGAGAGAAAGGCTTGGAATGAGCCGCTCAGGAACCAATAGCAAAAGCAAATACCAGGAGAAGGACCCGGCTGGCACCTGCATTGTGTCCGCCCGGATCCTGCACCCTCCAGCGCTGAGGACCAGGGGTCGGTGTCCCTGGGCTTGGCTCCTTGCTGCCAAGGGGACTGTTCCCGACTTCCTACCCCACCCCTGCCCAGGGCAGAGCTGGCTTCAGCTCAGGGATAGGATTTTGGGTGGGAGAAGGAGCAGAGCTGGCACAGATAGAAAGGAAGAGCCTGGATGGGACCTAGACGAGTCAAGGAGCCCATCACTTCCTCCTCTTCCTCTTTCTTCTCCTCCCATGTGCACCCATGGGAGCCGCTGCACATCCCACCTCTGGCCCCGTTCCTGTGGGCACGTCTACCTACCTGGATGCAGGGCTCTGGGAGCTGGAGAAGGCAGTTGCCCATCTCCTGCTGGGCATCCCTGGGCTTTGGGGGCTGCACTGGAGGCAGGGGCTCCCGAGGGGTCAGGGCTTTGCTGCACAAGTGGCTGCTCTGATGCTCCCCTCTCGCACCAATGGGAGCCCCAGCGGGTAGAGGAGCGATGGAGCCACTGGGTTCAGCACCCACCCTCCTCTCCAAGGTGCTCCCGCTGGTCACTGGCAGGATCCAGCCCCAAAGTGGGGGGGATGCTGCCCATCTCTCCCTTCGCATGCCCGGTGCCCCCAGCTCCCCGAGCCGTGCATGCCGTGTCCCACCGCGGTCTCACCCGCGTGCCCTTGTCTGGTGTTTTTTAGCTGGGGGGGGGGTTAGGGGTGGGAAGGGGGTCAGGGATGGACCCTCGTGTCCAGGAGCAGAGGCAGGTTTGGGCAGCACAGACCTGGCACCGGTTTGTATGTACCGAGCATGTGAATTGTATCTGCGGGGAAAAGAGACAAAAAAAAGGGACTTTTGTGGCTTCTTTGGTTTTTTTCCCCATGTTTGTTCCTGAGTAAGAAAAGCCAAAATGAGCAGACAAAGCCCAAGCAGGGCTGCGGGCAAGCGTGGAGCTGGGCAGAACCTGGAAAGGGCAGCTGGAGTCACTGGCACCACATGCAGGATTGGTGCTTTTGTGCTTTCCTGCCCGGTGCAAGCCAAAGGAGTCCCTGGATCCAGGCAGATGTTAAACCCCTGGAGCTCTGCTGGGAAGTGCAGCCCATCGGCTGGTCATCAGCTCCACAAACCCCTTAATGAACCATCTTTCAGAGGATACTGAAGTCCCTATTTATAACTAATAAATGATTAATGCGCATATGTTAACAAACTGCCGCTGCTATTAATCTATTATTAATTATTAATAGGGTGTTTGTAAGGACGCACTTAAGCTGGAGGGTGCAAAGCCAGCACCTTCCCTCCTGCTTGCAGGGAAATTGGGGTTGGGGGGTTAAAAGGATTCCCATACACACAGGAGTGTGCAGACACGCATGTATACACACACACAGAGCCAAACCCCTCCAGTGAGATGGGAAAACAGGGCTACACCTCCCCAGCACCCAAATTTCCCTCATCCCAGGCTCCATGCCTGACCTGCCCCATGCCAGTCCCAATCCCAGCCTTTCCAGCATGGGACTGGGCTGAGGACTGCGAGGCTGAGGGCTGGTGGAAGCAAAGCAACGCTTTCATCTGCAGGAGAAAGGGGCCCTGCTTCCCAGCTTCTGCACCCCCACTTCCTCACCCCACTGCTCCCCATAGACAGGGGAGGCTCAAACACCCGCCTCACCAACACGACAGAGCATGGTTGTGAAATAACTGGGTGCTGCCGGTGCCCTGCACCTCCTGCAGTCACAGTGGCGAGAGCTGTCATGGGAGTGAAAGAGGAAATTGGGTTTTTTTCTCATTTCCTGCATAAAATAATACCCCATGGCACAAGAGCAGCCAGGAGGTGAAGGGTTGGGGTTACAGTTTGGGCCAGTGCTGAAGGACCTGGGTGCACCGTGGCCTCTGGGACAGCCATGGGAGCCAGCGCTGAGCCCACCCACTCCATCAGCAGCCTCTGAGGGATGAGAGTTGCCAGGACCAAAGATGCTGAGGAACCAGTTCAGGTGGTTTCGGTGCCCTTTGTGCCCACACAGGCCCAGCAGTGCCACAGATATCACCCTGACCTTCCTGGAGCCAGGTGTGAGCATCCCTGCAGCAGCCACGCATTGAGAATAATGTTGATGGGGAAGAAAGTGCTGAAAAATGGAGACAATTAGGGAAAAAAGCAATTTTCCAGTGGGTGCATTTAAAACTCGTATCTCCCACTGGGAAGAGAAACCAATTTCTTTGCAAATTAAAAAGATTGCAGCTAAATAAAACTCCCCTGCATCAGTTCTCCAAATCCCACCCTGTGCAGACTGGGTTGGGGGGGGGGGCAAACGGCTCCACAACCCCTGGACCACAGACTGCAATTGCCATCACTGTCCTGATGCTGCTTTATCCCCCTGCACAGGACAAGGAGCTCACTGATGGATTCAGGGGTGCCCTTATGCTTGGAGAAGCAAAGCAGCTTTTGTTTCCCAGTTCTGTAGGGTTTAGCAGTGTAAAGTCACAGCCCTTTTAAAGGGCTTGGGTTGCTTTTAAACTTGGCATCATCTCCTTTATTCTATCAAGAGGCATCAGGAAATATGCAGCTAATATTCCTGCAGAAGGCAATTCGTGCCTGCTCACTGCAAGGCTCCTCCAGGCTCATGCCCCCCCTCTCTAGCTTGGTGGGGTCACACTCATTGCATTAATTCTGCAGTTTTATTCCTAATGGTCTTGAAGGTAACATTACTCATTAGGGAAAAATATTGATGCTTCTAATGATTTTCTGTTGCTTAAAACAGTTTGTACTACAGTCATTAACATAAATCACTTACTGGGATGAGGGATACACATACACTGACCCCATTGCTGAACACCATCAATAAGCTCAGGATCCTGCTGAATCTTAAATGCTCCATTTATACTCATAGAATCCCAGACTGGTTTGGGTCAGAAGGGGCCTTAAGGCTCATCCAGTTCCAACCCCCTGCCATGGGCAGGAACACCTTCCACTAGAGCAGCTTGCTCCATCCATAAGATCCCATCTCAGTCTCCCCTCTGGCAGGTTAAAGCCATTCCCTATGTCAGGAATGGACGTGTTGAGGGAGCAACACAAAGCCAGGCAGCGATGGGCCAGGCAGCAGCGTGGGAAGGACCAGCGCCGGGTGTCAACTCCCAAAGCCTTGCACATCCTCCCCGAGCTGGTGCCGGATCCAAACATGACTCAGCCCCAGCACATATTTTTATCAGCTTTAGCACGCAGCCTCAGCACAACAGAAGCAGCTCCCATCACTCACCGTGACCCAACAGACACAAACCGCCTGGCTTGCTTGGGGCTGGCTGGGAAACACAGAGCTGCAAAATACACAGCAAGGAAGATAGGAATCCGGCTTCAGACTCACAGGCACCCACTGAGCCCCAAACCAGGCCCCTAAAGCCCTGGAGAGGTGCCTGCTCCCACGGGCACTGCATGGTCCAGCCCAAATGGTGAGAATACAGTGGATGTTTCCACCTTCTTCGTACAAATCCATGTCCCCCAGAGCCTGCTCATCCCCAGGAGATATCCCTGGAGCTGGCTCCCCACAGAGGGGCTCACCCACACACACACACCCCCCCCAGGCCCATTGCTAACCAGTTCCATGAGCTGTTTGCTGATGAGCTCAAAGGCTGAAGAGCAGGGAAGAGGTATTAAAATATTCTGGGGTGTTTTAAAGTGTTAAAAGAGTGACTTTATCCCAGAGGGGATACAGACACAGATGGGGGGAGCTCAGCCCCTGACTTAGGTCACTTTGTGCTCCCTCAGCACCTGTAAGGCCTTGGGATGGAAACAAAAGTGGTTTCTAACAACCGTGCTCCTCTTGTGCAACGGCTGCAGGAAACCCCAGCAAAACCACTGCAGAAAACAGACAAATCCCACCTCGCCAGTCCCTCACAACCTGGAGAGCTGGGAATTAACTACGTTGTTTGGGAGGGGGGGTTACTGTGAAATCCCCGCTTCGATGCAGGCACCATGTGGAAAGCAGCCCTGGAGAAGGGCACAGTGAGAGTGAGCAGCCTGGGGGGGGGACACAAACCCATTGCAGGAGGTTGCACCAAAGGCCAAGCCTCCGGCTTCCTTTACCCTTACGAGATGCAGGTTTTGAAAGAGCATCCTCCTGCGAGCGGGGCTGCAGCGAGCGGTGCAAGGAGATTCCCGGGGGTGCCATGGCCGGCACTGGGGGAGCCCGGGATGAGGAGCGGGAGCCGCTGCGGAGCCGGGAGATGGAGCTGGAGCCCCGCAGGCCCCCGCCGCTGCCGGGGAAAACTCAGAGGTAACAAAACTGCTCCGCAAACGGGGCCAGATCGGAGCTTCCCGCAGGAGCCGGCAGGGCTGCTTCAGCCCGGTGCTTTGCGCCGTGCCAGAGGCAGGCTGAGAGCCTCACTCCCCCAGGGGTAACGGGGACTGAGCTGGGTCAAACAGGGACAAAGCCTGTTCGGGAGCTCGTAAAGAAACCCACTGTGGTTCCGGTGCCGCTGGTGGTGGCAGCAGGGTCAGGGCTGGGCGTAGGAGCAGGGAAGCGAAACCCCAGCGCGGCTGCGGGCGGCTCCTTCCCCCTGCGCTCCTCCCCATGGGCTCCTGCTTTTCCTGCCCCACACACAGGTCCGCATCCTGCCCCACACACCGGGGCTGTGGGTGCAAAGGCACCCACACCTCTCCCACCATCGTGTCTTCCTCGTGGCCACCCAACAGGGTCCGCAGGGCAGACACAAACCTGTGTGTACAGACACACATGGCTCTGAACCAGCATGGGAAGCCCCCGCCCAGGCAGCCCCCAACCCTCCAGAGCACCCCCAGGACATTCCAATGCAGGACCTGGAGTCCCTGGGCCACCAAATTCGCTGCCTTTTGCCCCCAGACCACGCAGCCAGGGCTCCCCAGGCCACTGCTTCCCCTTTTCTCTTTATTCTTCCCCTGACCCGGCACAGGAAGGAGCCAGATTCCCCCCGGGGGGGGGGTCATTGCTGACTCCAGGCTCTATGCAGGGCCGCCATGCAGGCACAGGGCAGCATGCGTGCCCGCAGCAGCAGCCTGGACCTGGGTAACCCCATGCCAGACACCCCGAGGAGCCACCCACCCCGGCCCCCCAACTCAGCCCTCATCTACAGCAACGTGGGTGAGTGATGCCGCGACCCCACTTCCTGCCCCCCAACGTCCCAGCTGGGGTGGTGGGGATGAACCCCACTGCTGTCCACATCCTTCTCCAGTAGTACCCAGCCATCACCCCTCTGGCTGGCGCTGGGCATCGCTTTGGGGCTGGAAATGTGCAGTGGGGCAGATAACAACGTGTCTATACTCCCATCCCACACCATCTCCCACTTTCTCCCTTCCTGGGAAGGTCTCAGACCCACTGTGTCTGTTCCCCCCTCCCCAGGAGAGCTGCGGGCTGACCTCACCCCACGCAAGGCCTGCCGAGGGGAAGGAGCTGGAAGACCCCCCCCTCATCCCGATGGGACCCCCCTGCCTCCGCCACTGCCCAAAAAGCAGCTCCAGCGAGCGGAATCCCTCCCAGAGCCTGGACCATCCCAGCACAATCGGGGTGACTCCACAGCATGGGGCAGCAGCATCCCACAGCCCCATCTACAGCGTGAGGAGGGGGCTCCCAGCTCCATCCCCTCACCGGACAGACCCTCCTGGGCACACAAGAAGCGCTTGACCAAGTCCCAAAGCCTGGGGGAAGCGGTGGCCTGGAGCAGCCTGCAAAAATCCCCATCGCCCATCCCGGCGGAGCTGACTTTTGGGGTGGCAGACGGGGAGCTGGGGAAGCTCCTGCAGCTCCTGGACAGCCCGGACAGGGTGTGCAGGGTGCTGTTGGGGTGCCAGGAGGCCGCCCTGGCCCGGCTCTCAGCGCGCATCCAGGAGGAGCTGGTGGGACCCGAGGAGCGGCAGCAGCGGCTGCAGGCAGAGCTGGCAGGGAAGAGCTGGGCAGCGCTCAGCATCCTGGAGCGGGAGCCGTGCTGCGAGAGCCGGGATGCCTGGTACTTCCCGGTGGGCTTCAGTATGGAGCAAACGCGGGTGGTGTGTGCAGCCAAGGTAAGCAGGGATTGAGGGAGAATGGTCCGGGTGGAGCGGAGGGAGCAGCTCCTGTGGCGTGGGGGGGGGCTGCGGTGCTGCAGGCAAGTGTGAACCCGGAGTGTTTCCTGTTCCACGCTGGTGCTTCCCCTTTTTGCACCTACTTCTGCATTTGCTGGATGAGGCAGCACTGCCAGCGCAGGCAGGGAGGGTGACAGCTCCCAAATAACGCATCAAGGGAAATGGACCTCATGGTCTTGAGGGGCCAGCGTACACAAAGGAAAGGATGGAGCAGAGCTGGCTCCTCAGGCAGTGCAGGATAAGACCCATTAAAGCAGCTTTGCAGCTCACCTGGGGGTTAACACCCCACCTTGTATCCCATTTCTTCCTCAAAGCCATTCTGGTGGCTGCCAGTGGGTTTGGAGGGTGCAGGGTGGTGGCCCTGAGCTGAGGTGGTGGATGAGGCACCCCATGGCTCCATCCTTGCAGCTGACTGTGCCTTGTCTCTCCTTGCAGGTCCCCAAGCCAGGTTCCACCAGCCTGGGGGTGCAGAGCTCCCTTGGGGTACACTGCAGCATCCAGCGCGTGATTGGCCGCTTCACCGACTGCCTCCCTTGGGAGCTTCTGCTCCCGGGAAGCCCTGGGGAGCAGAGTCGGTCCCTGCCCGGAGAGGAGCCAGCCCATCCTGCCACCCATCCTGTCCTGCAGGTCCTTATCTCCCCTGAGGTTCCCTACCAGACCCTGGCAGACTTCGTGAAGGGATCCCATGGTTTGCACAGGACCTGCCCTGGGCACTATGAACGCCTGGCTTGCCTCCTCCTCCTGCAGGTGTGCATGGGGCTGGAGCATCTCCGGGTGCAGAACGTGGAGCAAGGGGATCTCTGCCTTGAGAACCTGCTGCTGGTGCGATGCCTGTGTCCTCCCCAGAGCCAGCAAGGCAAGAAGGCATCCCTAGGGCTTTCCCTTCCCAGGCTGCTCATCAGCAGCTTCTACAAGGTTAAAGATAAGCAAAGACCTTGTTCTACTAGCCAAGAGCAGGACTCGACAGAGGGCCTTGCTGCACCACCCTCCCTGGCGGCAGATGAGCTGAATGTAGGCATGCTGATCTATCAGCTCTTGCACGTGGACATCTCTCTGGAGAGCGCCTTGGGGTTCAGAAGCAAGAGACTTCCTGAAATCCCCTCCTGTCCATCTACTCCACGGGACTCAAGCGTCTGGCCATGCTGCTTCTCCACAGAGATCCTTGCAAGAGGGTCTCTGTTGAGCAGGCAAGGAGCATCCTGCAGGTCCTGCTCTGGGGGCCTCGACAGGAGCTCTTTGCCAGGACCAAGAAGACCCTCACCCTGCTCCGGAGCTGGGTGGAGGTGAAGAGGGCTCTGCTGCTCCTCAGGTTTGTGGAGAACGTGGCTGGGGCAGTGGGGAGCCCTGGCCTTGAGGAGTGGCTCTGCTGCCAGTACTTCAAGGAGGTCACCGAGCACACGCTCTACCAAGTGACCCAGGCTCTCTACGCTCCCTAAAGGCAAGCTGAAGTTTAGCCCACCCAAAAGGTCTCCTCAAAGCCAAAAGCCCATGAGGACCTGACCAAATCCACCAGCTCACAAGGAACCCAAGCTGGTCCTGGTTGGGTAAAGTCTGTTGCCAAACCCAAACCCACTTTCCCCCCAGCACAAAAACGATGAAGCTGGGACCAAACTCCCACCCGTGGCTCCTGTAACATGCGTTTTTATACCCTCAACCAGTTTTTGTCTGATAGAGACCAGTTTATCAGAGCATCTTCAGGAAGATGACAGGATAGAAGCCACAGCATCAAGTGCCAGTTGCCAAGTAGAGTTTATGGGGCTCAGACTTTACACAAACACCTCTCAGACCTCTCCTGTGGCTTTCACTGTTTCAAAGCCACACATTACAGCTCACCTGAATGCACCCGTTAGCAAAGGGAAATGCAATAAATACCTTGTATAACCTGCTCTCTTTAGAAACAATTTGTGGCACAGTCACAAATATAAATGACATTTTAAAGGGGGAAATACAGCAGCCACACAGCTTCAATAAAACCCAGAGCTGAGCCTCTTAAATACTGGTCCTTTATGTGCTTCTTTGACAGCATTACACACACCAGTAATGTATCCACAGAGAAACACAGAGCCAAACTTCCCTGCCCAGTGGTGCTCAGCCAGGATGGCCTCAATGGTGTCAGTTTATGGCTGGTGCACCAGGGACCAGGCTGCAGGGTTGGTCTCTGGCTGCACCAAGGCAGGTCCGTGGCATCTGATGCTTGGTATGAAACAAGCAGCACCATGTGGGATCCACACCCTGGTCCCTGAAGCCATGTGGATGCTGGAGTGACTGTCACAGTGAAGCACCAAGCAAAGCCCTGTTTGGGTCATGACAATTATTATTAATTAATTAATTATTAATCCATCTAAGAGCATCCTCCACGGGCTGTGCACACAGCAGGATGGACCATCCTGGCCTTCCCCACAGCTACGGCTGGGGCAGCCCCAGCGTGCCCATGGACATGGGCAGTAGCACATAAAGCAGTCATCAGAGCCTGCAGCACGGCTGAATTGAGGAGGATTCCTCCTAGGAGTCCCTGAGCTCAAAACAACCCCAAAAAACCCAGTAAAACAGCGCTGTGACACGTGCATCCCCTAAAGCGAAACCACAGAGGATGCTCCCTGCTCTATAATTAGATGCATTTCTGCCTCTGGCTCTGTGCATGGGCAGGCAGCAGCCTCATCACCTGGGGCTGAGACCCAGCCAAGACCACAACACCTCTCTTCAAGACATGGGGGGACTTTCCTTCCCCAAAGCAGCACCCAAAGCAGTGCAGCCTCTAAGGGGGGACCAAACAAGCTCCCTGGGCACACAGACCCGGAAGGGCTCACCACCCGAGCACAGCCAGGCCACAGAAACATTGCTCTAATTTCAGTATGGGCTTTTGGACCAAAAGCATGCTGGAGGGGTTCTCCAGGGTGAGCCCCAGCCCCGTCCCCACCGCCTCTCCTGTAGTATCTCGCACGGCTACAAGATGGCAGTAAAGCTCATGGCACGGCAAAGCCACCCTGGGCAGCTGATCCTGGAAAACAAAGAGGAAACCAGCCCAGCAGAGGGGCACCTCCGAGCATCCCCTGCACCCCTGCTTCTGGGGACCCCCTCCCCTTCTGCCAGAAGCTTGGAGCAGTCCAGCTCTTGGGGCAACAGCACAAGAGGGACACCTAGAGAGGCCAGAGGCCACGGAGATGCTGCGAGGGCTGGAGCAGCTCTGCGCTGGAGCCAGGCTGAGAGAGCTGGGCTGGGGCAGCCTGGAGAAGAGAAGGCTCCTGAAGGGAAGACCTGAGAGCAGCTCCAGTGCCTGAAGGGGCTGCAGGAAACCTGGAGAGGGGCTTGGGACAAGGGCCTGTAGGGACAGGCCAAGGGGAACGGCTTGAACCTGCCAGAGGGGAGACTGAGATGAGCTCTGAGGCAGAAGTTTGGCTTGGACTAAGGAATGCATGCTGTCCCCATAGAGATTACCACACCCTCATGCTGGCCTCTCTCAGTGAGGTTTCAAATCACTCAGCAGGTAACTTTAGCCAACCCGTGACCCAAAGGGGGTGAAGGTGGCATAATGCTTTGGGGTAAACAGAAGCCTGTTCTGCCTACCCCACATCTGAATCTCTTTCTGCCTTGGCTCTGCTATAGCAGGCCACCAGCAAAGACCTTGCACCTACCACCTTCCTTGAGAGCTCCCCAGCCAGTGATCCAGCAAAGAAACAGTGACCGAGCACAGATGCAGTGTCCCAAATTACCAGTCGAAGTGGACCATTATTTCACTCTAAGTAGGGCTTTTAGAGGATTGCTGAACTCCTTCAAGCCCTGGTAGATCACAGCCATGAGCTCCAGTCAAGCAAAGAATGACCAACACCTTTCCATACCTGCAACTTTAATGGCGGGGGCAGTTCCAGAGCCACCTCCTCAGCGTGTGAGTCTAAAACAGCTTAAACCAGCAATAAAAAGTAAAATATAAATTTTTATTTAGAATTAAAGCAAATACTTCAGTATCACAAACACAATATTAAACTTCAAGAAATATACTGCTAATTTGGAGGGAGCATTTATTTGCACAACCACAACATGCGCACAAATCCAGAGAAAGATGTGGAGTCTGAAATTTTCAACATCTCACCACCAGAGCAGTTGGTCACAACATTTCATATAGAGTTATATATGTACTGTAATAGATGTTGACAAAATTTCTACAGAATCATCTTTATAGACAACAAGAAAGCTCTAAGAGGCAAACATTGCAATCTAGTCTTCTTCTGATGAGTCTCTCTCAAGCGTGTAGGCCATGAAGCAAGCATCTGGTCTCTTGGGGACAAGGGGATGCCCTGGTCTCACAATCTCAAAGCCCAAAAAGCTGAAAGTCCGGAGCAATGCAGCTAGGAAAAAAAGCATAGAACATTTTATCCACTGATGCTGTACAACAGTTCAAGTGTCCACCAAAACCAGCTTCAAACAACGTTCCCATCATTTGAGACAGTGCCGTGAGTTATCACCTACCTCTATCATCTCTGTTCTTGTGGAAACAAATGAACACATGATCAACTCTAAGCTGTTCTTCAGCAAACTCCAGAAGAACTGCAAAACTGCAAGACAAATACAACGTGGTCAGCACACACAAGCAAGCACTTCCTTTAGAGACAGTAAGACCCTGCTGACATCTGCACATGAATGTACAGGCCTGAGAAAGAGGCTGGGGTGGAAATTTGTACTTGGAAGCAATCCCCAAGCCCCAGGCCTAACTTGGAAATCTTCAGTAACACAGGTAGCATGCTTTACTGCGGCAGCTGAACAGAAATGCAGTGACAGGCTAAGAACCAGGCTGGTGTTCTCAAGAGATGGATGGAGCCACCCAGTACCTGCGAGGGCTTGAAATTACAGACCTTTTGGGTGGTTCTGACAGAACAGGGATCCTCAAAGCAGGATCACTTAAGCTGCAGCCTCTTACACAAAAGCATCAAGACCAGCAGAGATTCTCCCCCTCTACTGTGCTTTGGGGAAATCCCCCCCTGCAGTTCTGCATCCAGCTCTGGAGCAACAACACAAGAGGGACTTGGAGCTGTTGGAATAAGCCCAGAGGCCACGAGGATGCTGCGAGGGCTGGAGCAGCTCTCCTCTGGAGCCAGGCTGAGAGAGCTGGGCTGGGGCAGCCTGGAGAGGAGGCTCCAGAGAGAACTTTTGAGCAGTGCCCACTGCCTAAAGGGGCTCCAGGAAACCTGGAGAGAGGCTTGGGACAAGGGCCTGTAGGGAGAGGCTAAGGGGAATGGCTTGAACCTGCCAGAGGGGAGACTGAGATGAGCTCTTAGGCAGAAGCTCTTCCCTGTGAGGGTGCTGAGGCGCTGGCACAGGGTGCCCAGAGAAGCTGTGGCTGCCCCATCCCTGGCAGTGTTCAAGGCCAGGTTGGACACAGGGGCTTGGAGCAAGCTGCTCTAGGGGAAGGGGTCCCTGCTCGTGGCAGGGGCTTGAACTGGGTGAGATTTAAGGTCCCTTCCAGCCCAAACCATCTGATGTTTCTATGATCAAGCACCATAATTAAGACTTCAAACAATGAAGGCAAACCAATGACATTGAAGTGCTATTCCACCCTACTGACAGACCTTTGAGACAGAGGCAAGTCAAACCAGAGCTGCATTTTAGCCAACCCACCTGTCTTTGCTCCCTTCCGGCAGAGCACCACTGGGAATTTCAATGTAGAGGTTGTTGTTGTTCAGCACTGCTCTCCAACTAATGTGTTTGGCATCTGTAAGCCTTGACTGGACATTCAGAATTCTTGTCCTGTTATTAGATGTTAGTTCTTCTGTTACATTCAGCCGATTATCCTGCAGCAGTGAGATGCGCATGGTTATTTCCAGTTCAGTTTGGAGAAGGGGTAATCCCATCGATAGGCTTGAGGCAAGAAACACATTCAAACTCACCAGAGCAAGCTGCTTATTATTGATACTCACCGAATAAAATAAATTAGCTGAAAGATTGTGATCCCTCTGACTATTCCCTCGCCCACCTGGGATCTTCAGGGGTGGGTGAGGGACATCAGGAGCACCACCGAGGCCCCGGACCCAGGTTACTACAGCAATTGAAGGGAACCCTGGAACTAGAAAAGGAGCACAGTTAGAGTGTTAGACAAAGGGATTATAGGAATTAGATGTTTTAAACAGTAATCAGATGGCAAGATATAGAAAATAAAACCCAACCTAGGGCAAGAGAACTCCTCCCACTGTGACCTAAACAAGTGGTAAGACAAAGGAGCCTCCAGACCAGGGATGGAACACTGCTGCCTTGCACCCAGACCCACAGGGTCAGAAAGCTGCTACTGCAGTATTTTGAGGGAAAGACTAAATTAGAGATGAAAATACTCTCAGCTTGAAGTGAGCAGGGTATCTATCTCGATACCAAGGCAGCAGAATGCTTGACCTGAATTCAAGAGAGGAACCATTCTGCTGTCACATACACAAGATGCCATTTTCTCCCCCACCTTGTTCTTGGGGTTGGCACCAGTATACTGCCCCAGCAAGCCAGGGGTCATTTTTCTCTGTGATGAATGTCCCTAACCACCTCAGACCTTGGCACCAGCATATTCAGCTTGAGGATCAGCAAGCTACATGAAACAGCCTCACAGATGTCACTACCTCAAACGCTTTCACCATGCTCCGAGGCGAAATCACCACTTTTCACTTTGAGACCATACCTGAGCATTTGGCAAACCTGCAACCTTTCTACTGAATTCCTCAGAGCAATTTCACACTGCTTCAGTCTTTCAGGTTAAGAACATTATCCTCTTAAGATATGAAGCCTGTTTCTTGTATGCACGCTAAGTTTCACACCATCCACATAAGCCTGCTTAAATGAATAAGCCTGCTACTGTAGCAAGAGCCATGGTGCCTGGCCCCTCCCTCTGCACCATCCTTCACCCTGCAGGCTCACTCTTGAGTTGCGTCATCTCAGCAGATGCAGCAATCGAGGCCCTTAGGGAAATTTTCACAATCATCCTGTCTGTGAGTGCCAGCAGCCATTTGCAAATCAGAATAAACATGTACCAAATAATCCACCATTTTGCACAGTTCACAGGAGTTTCCTCTTTTTCACGAGCTGCAGATTTGGGATGAATAATCTGCATGAGAAAGGCACTGAACGTCTACATAGGTGCAATATTATGCACGGGAAGACATCAGTCAACACAGCAACTGCAAAGGTTTATTTAAAAAAAATGAAATTACACTATTAAAGGAGCATTCAATCCATTATTTTACGCTCTTTGAAAGGGTCAAAAGACACTTCCTCTTAGTATGAGCATTAGGTACTTGGTTTCTCTCACAATGACTGCAGAGCCACGCATTCCCAATTACCTTACAAATAAACCTTTAAGCACCCAGCTCGGAAGCGTGCAGTGGCAACCCTTGAGCCAGTTTCCCCTTTCCCCCACCGAAGGGTGGTGCATAATGAAGGCTGCCTACACTGCAATCAACAATGCATTTGAGAGTGATGCTTGTGCGCACCTACACCTCTTCGAGAAAACATAAGCAGTAAAAAGCAGTGAAGTATAAAAATGGCTCTCTAAAACTAATGCTAGAACTCATTTCACAGTCCACATACAAGCTCTAATCCCAGCTCCCTTCATACGAGGCAGACTGGCATCTTAAGTGTCCATCACCCAGATTCAGGTATTGCCACCCCAGCATCTGTCGGGACTGTTTAATCTTTTGGTCGAGTTTTAAACTAGCAGCTTTCCTAACACTCTTATATTCTACTTTAGGCTCAGTACCCTCGATTAGACTTCAAGAATATCTACGATTACATAAGGGGATACCAGCTCCAAATCCTTTGATATCTTTGCTTAATTGCTGTTTTTTCCCCCCTCAGGGGTTAGAAGGCACCTCCAGGCCCTGCCTCCGGCCCGGCTTTGTCTGCAGGCTCCCTTGGGCCCGCTGGCTTGCTCGAGAGCCGCTTACCCGGAGGGCAGCGAGTTGGTTCCAAGGCTTTCTCCCATGGCTGTGACAGCTCCAGGGAGGCTCTCCCGCGGGCAGTTAACGTGGCACAGGGCGGGAGGCAGCCGCAGGCACCCCCCGGGGCGGGGTGGGGGGGGGAAGGACGTGTCACCCAGCACGGTGGCGGGTGCCGCCGCACGGCCCCTGGGTGCCGCCTTGGCCGTTATAAAAACCCTTTTTTTACCCCCTTCCCTCCCTCCTTTTTGTGAGGGGGAGGAAGGAGGGAAGGGGCCAGGCCGCAGCGCCCAGCACTGAGGCGGCGAGGGCCGCCCCTCCCCCTGCCGCCACGGAGCACCCCTCCCCCCGGCCACGGGGGAGGCGACCGGCGCTTGCAGGACCGGGAGGAGGCTGGGCCCTGAGGGGGAAGGAGAAGGCGGCGAGCGCCCAGCGGTGCGTAGGCTGAGGGAGGCCCCGGCCCCTCACCTGCTCTGTCCGGTACTGAGGCTCAACACAGCGGGCATGATGGTGCTTTTATTCCCCTCTTTCTCTCTAGCGAAGCAGTGACTGTTGAGTATCCGCTGCAGGGAGGATTTCACCATCCGGCCGCTCTGGTCCGAACCCCGAAACCCTCCGCTGCCTCCCTCCGGCCGCTCCCCAGGCACTCGTACACAAAATGGCACCGCGCAACCAGCGGGTCTTTATATACCCTCCTCAGACCACGCCTCTCGCCGTGGCACCGCCCCCGACTGGGCAGCTGCCCAATCTGGTGAAAAGTCCCTCGTAAAGCCTCGCTTTCCATTGGCTGACGGGAGCTCGGGGGCGGGGCGAAACAGCGAGCTCTTTCTCTACGGGCTGGCAGCGTGAGGGAGTTCAAGATTGGTTAGAAGGGCTCGGGGCGGAGAGAAGAGGGGAAACGGCAGCCTCTGATTGGCTGCACCCGCCGTGGGTGGGCGAGGCCTGGCGGGGCCGGGCCGCGGAGGGCTCGGAGCGGAGCCGCAGCCTCCCCTGCACCGCGGAGCCGCCGGTTCGAGTCCCGCGTCCGCCGCCCCCGGCTGAGGTAAACGGCGGGGGAAGGGAGGGGCTGGGCCGGCCCCGGCCTCGCGCATGCGCCGGGGGAAGAGCGGGGCCAGTGTCCGCGGGGAAGCGAGGCGGGAGGGTCCGAGGGGGGCCGGGGTTTGGGCATCGCCTCAGGGCTCAGAGGGGGAGCAGGGGATGCCCCCCTCGTGGCTCCCGCTGTGGGCAAGATGCTGAGAGAAACTTGGACTGAAACAACAAGAGGGTCCCCCAAGGACTGGAGAGGGGCCCTAAAGGGAGGGCCCCAAGTTGTGGCTGGGGTTTGGGGTGCAGGGTTTGGGCTGTGGCCGTGCCCCCGCTCGCAGTGAGCAGTGTCCCTCTGGCCTGTGTGTTGTGCTGGCTGGGGCAGTAATGGAGAGCTTTGGTTGCCTGGGGAATGGTTGGTGGTTGCCTCTGGAATGGAGAAGGGCTTTGTGTTGTACCTTGGCGGGGAAGCGAGTAAATCCCGGCTATTTGCAGGGCAGAAGTCGGGCTGTAATGTAACGTAGCGCTCCGCTTTTCATCCGCAAGGATTTGGCAGATCTAAGGCTTGGGGGCACAGTTGGGTCTTTCCACAGCCCCATGACAAGAGCAAAGTCCGGAGGAAAGGATGGGAGTTTGGAAGCTGGGTGCTCCACTTCTCGTTTGGATGATAGCGATGAAAACACAGATTCATCCTTTTGGGGCTGGGGGTCAATCTAAAATTCAGCTTAAAAGCAGCAGATACGTACAAAAGGTAAAGAGGGTGTAATAGGTTATAATTGCCATGACAAGAGAGCTTTGTCTTCGCCATTTCTGACCATTTCAGCCTGAAAACCAAGTCAGAAGTCAGGGCACTTCCTAAACAGCGTGGCTTATCCTGTATGGAAAGACAGCTCAGAATAATGGTGTAAATGATAGTGAATTGAGTTTGCAGTCAAGTGTGCCTTGTAAATCAAGTGGGAAAAGGTGTTTGTAGAGCCAAAGAGCACCACTAAAGAGACATTGTAGTGATTTTCAAAACAGTGGCTTTCTAAAAAGGAAAAAATCAGTGCAGATGGCTGTGTTTGCTTTATTCAACCCGCGCTGGGCACGCCTGTTTTATTGCCTTCAGATGCCATAGCTGCATTGGGGCATTTGATTATATTTTAGGTGGGTTTTTTTTTTACTATCTTGCTCATTTGTATTTGCTTTAAAATATTCCCATCCAGGAGCTCTGAGTCCATTGATTGGTTCCACTTTGCACAAGGATAAGTGTCTAAATCCCAACCCACCTTCTGTGTCCTGAAACTGCTCTGATTGACTATGATGGAACAAAGTGTATTGCTGAAAGAAAACACTCTCTGTTCTCCTACAGCTTAGATGAGAAGCTGAGCCTGGCCAGCAGCCAGTGGCTAGTCTGGGAGTTGTGGTAAGTAAGAGGTATGAGAGAAAAATCCCTTTCCTGCTGCAGCTACATGCACTTAGCTCCCAGAACACAACATAACTGAGACATTAGTGCTCGCTTTCACCTCGCGCTCTAGATTTGGTGGTTGATTTATGGAGGGGAAGCTGGCTGCCATTTAGTGCAGTACCCAGAGACCGATTTGAAACAATGGGAGAGCTGCAATTCAGGAATATCCGGACCAAATGAAGCACATCAGAGAAGATTTAGCAATTCATGGTTTGGGTGTTGTATTAGAAAGGTTTTCCTGATGGGGGAATGAATGTGTTAGTCAGTGGAAGGACTGCCTGAGCATTTTGTTTCATTATTTCTAATAATGGCATTTATTATTCATGTAGTAATCTGACTGTAATTCCTTATAATGGAACTGCATTAGAGATCACCCTTGCAGCTGCTTTCCTCTTTACTGTGGTGCTGGGAACAGCTTTGCCCTTTGGATGCTTGTTGTCTCCATGGGCCATCATCCTATTTTACAGTGAGTGATCCAGCTGATGCTGTGGTGCTCTGTAGTCTGCAAAAAGCCCAATCGACCTGTTTTGCTTTTGTGTGTTAAATATGGTGTGGGATTAGTTCCAGCTGTGGTTTTGCTGAGATAGCCTAACTTCCAGTTTAGCAGTGACAGTGATTCATAAACCTTCACAGAGAAGCCTCTGACTCACGATTTCAGGATTACCAGCTGAGGAAGTTTGAGATGTTGCCATCTCCAGCTGGTTTTTTACCTCTGGTTTGCCATAATTCCCCTATCCTTGGCAGTAGGCAGGAGTAACTGCGCATCAGTGTCTTAGTTGCGCCAGCTGCATCCCTAGTTTGACATTTAAGGCTAGGTCGGACAGGGTTTTGAGAACTTGGGCTAGTGGAAGGTGTCCCTGCCCATGGCAGGGGGCTTGAAACTAGGTGAGCTTTAAGGGCCCTTCCAACTTAACCCACTCTATCATCGTAGTCCAAAGCCATCTCAGTTCCAGGGCTGAGTGAATGCTCAGTTCATGCTGGGCAGTGAACCCTAACAGTTGGTGTGTGGGCATCAATTCCTGCTTGCCTGTGTCAGTTGTGGCACAGCAGTTTTCAACACAGAGGCAGAGAGTCTCATCCTCTGAAAGACTGGAGGAAGAGTTTATGGCAGCACAGGAGTAAGTTGAAGTCAAATTCCAAACTGATGGCTAATGTAAACAGATGTTAGAGCAAGAAATGGGCAGGTTAATGAAACTGAATGTCCTTCCTCTTCATTGTGTGTTTCCAGGTTTGCAAGTGTTTGTGATCAGATGACACGAAACTAGTGCTTAGAAAGATGTAGAGGACCTGAAACACTCGTAAGACTTGCCAGTTCTGAAGTCCTGCACGTTGATACCATGGTTGTATCACATCTTTTATTCTGAGAAGGAAAGATAAACTGTTCTGTTGTTTAGCTGATTAAAACATAACTAAATGACACGGCTGCAAATATTGGTGCTTCTGTGTGTTTTTCCACCACTGAGGAGGCGATTGGAAAGGGGGCTGCTGCAGGTGTCAATGAAACAGCTCCCATGTCCATGTTCTAGAGGAGTAACAAAGCTCCAGTGAAGGTGAATGGGGAAGAAAAAAAAAGATATTTGACATGTAGCAGAACTCCCCGTATATTTTCTGCTTGGCTAGATCATGCTGTCATAGCTCTTCTTGAATGTGGAAATTGATGTTTATGGCATTTAGCAGTATCATGGGAATTAAGCTGTCTCTTATTTGCTGACTAGGGAAGTACAACAGAAAGAAAAACATGAGCTCTCTTTTAAAGTATGTACAGTCCTTACATACCATTACACACTTAGTAACTCCCCAAAAATGGTAAAAAATAATAATAATACATCAATTGAGCCAGACAATCAAGTTGTTCCGATTGCCTTTTATAGAATCGTAGAATAGTTTGGGTTGGAAAGGACCTTAAGGCCACCCAGTTCCAAACCCCTTGCCATGGGCAGGGACACCTCATACTAGACCATGTCACCCAAGGCTCTGTCCAGCCTGGCTTTGAACACTGCCAGGGACGGAGCATTTACTGCTTCTTTGGGCAACCTGTCCTGGTGCCTCAGCACCCTCACAGTCAAGAACTCCTTCCTTATCTCCAACCTGAACTTCTCTTGTTCCAGTCTGAACCCATCACCCCTTGTCCTATCGCTCCAGTCCCTGATGCAGAGCCCCTCTCCAGCATCCTTGTAGCCCTCTTCAGACACTGGAAGCTGCTCTGAGGTCTCCACGTAGCTTCTCTTCTCCAGAGTGAACAGCCCAAATGTTCTCAGCCTGGCTCCATAGGGGAGGTGCTCCAGCCCCTGATCATCCTTGTGGCCCTTCTTTCTGTTTCCTCTCCAGAAAGACTCTACTTGTTCTTACAGTTTTAAGGGTTATCTAGAGGTGCAGCCCACCAAAACCGAACAGAAACTGAGGCAGAGATGTCCATTCTGATGTGTTTCCACAGAAATCACTGTGTGTGATGACTTTCTCACTCTGTAATGTAGCCACTTTTAGTCCCAGAATAATTTAAACGTTCATCTTGGTCAGCTCTGTGTGGAGATGAAGCACAACAAAAGTTTGTGAGGCCTTTATCAAAACACTGGGCAGTGGTATTTCTAAACTTCCTAAGCCCTGTAGTTCACAAGCATTGCACAGCAGGGCTCTTATGTCAACCCATCTCCTTCCTTAGAGCTTTCGGTTCCCTTCCTTACAGGTAACGGTTAACTACCAGTTATCTAATTTTAAATACTCCCCTCACAAAAAAAAAAAAAAATCACTATTTGGCGTGTTAGAATCTATTCTCATCTTTGTGGGACATGTAATTAGAACACTCCTTCTAGGTGGAAAACTCTCCTCATTTTCATTGTCACCCAAGTGAGAATGATCTCATTTGAAGGTCAGGTTTTCTGCAGACCCACTTGTGCTGGAAAGAGATCCTGCATGCCACTGCCAAGTTAAGCTGGAATTCTTAGATGTTTACCAGCACAGGGAAGAATTTCTTTTCCAAGATCTTTGTGAGATATTGAACTAAAGGAAAGCAGTCACTAGTTTGTCAGGCCAACAGATGTCTGTACTTCTTACCAAAGAAATGTTGGATCTCTGTTTTCTCACTTAAACCAGCTGACATGAAGAGGACTTTATACCGATTGCAGATGAGATAACAGATGCTTAAAATGATTTAAAGTCTCGTTATCTGATTCAGGGGTGTAATCCAACATCATGCTTGTCATCTGATAAGTGCTGAATTGTTTTCCTTACATCTGCAGGATCGAACTCGTCAGGTTTTGCTGTTCACTTTCCACATAGAAATAATGGGGGGGGGGGAAAGGGAAAAGCCAGAAGTAAGAACAGGAAATATAGTCAGGTAGGAAGTGGGTTAGCCAACAGCAGAAGGCCCAAGATGCGGTCAGAGGATGGCACCTTGAGAGTCCTGGGGAAAGAAGTGTGCCTGAGCAGTGTGTTGTTATGGTTCTGTAGCTGAAGGATAATGTTCCACAAGCTTAGGTTTTGTATTGATTTTTCTTTGGGTTACAAACAAGTGGTCATGAGGAAAGCAAAGGTAGTTACAAAACAATAGCAGGAGATATTGCAACATTCTTGCTTCCACAGTCCATTTTCTCTTTCATTTGCATTGAGCCTGATGCAGCACATCTCCATCCTCTCCTCTCCTTCTGCTTCCCTCGCCAAGTTGACAAGAGGTGATGGAGGCTCTTGCAAAAAGTTCAGTGCCATCAAAGGGAGGTTGAGCACTGGGTGAGAGCAGTGGGGTGCTGAGAAAGCAAGCCCCTCTGTGGTCACATTGTGATTGGCATTTTGGCATGCAGCGGCTTTCTGGAGTTCTTCCATGAACGTTTTCTTTCTCTGCTGACCCCTTTCCCTCCCTTGCTTGCTGGAGCCTTTGTGTGGTAGATTTATATATTTTTTTGCTTAGCTTCCCTTTTCTCCTACAGAATCGTTCAGCACAATCTGATGTTTCTTTGCAGGATGGGCCACTTTCACAGCCTCCGTGTCGGGAAGGCAGCTGGACGGCGTGGCTTATTTTCCCCCAGTTCCTATTGTGCTTGGATCAGTCAACCTTAGGGACGAGGAAGTGCACAGTACAGCTCAGCTTTTGTAACTCCGCATTTCGTTTGGGAATGTTATCAAAACAACCAGATGTCAGCAGGATGAACGTTAAGACCTGTGCAGAATCTGCTCTGTCAGAAACGAGTTCAGAGTCAGTTTTGCCTGCCTAAACATTTCGCCCAGCAGCTCATTAAAGTGGATGTATTCAAAGGAGACTTCCCCCCCCACCCCAGATTAGATCATTCCTGTGATAAGAGCATTAACAAGCATATTTTGCCATAAAAAAAATGAACAAGCCTCGAGGGCAAGGAAGGTGATTTAGCCTGCAGTTAAGTTATATCCCACACTTGTCCTTTACGGAATAAGGCAACCAGTTCACCTCTTTGTTGTAGCTGAGAACAAGCCCAACAATGGCCTCTGACCAGCAGAATGGGCAAAGTGGGGTTTCTTCCAGCTCTATGTTTGTGCTGCATGCTGCTTTATTTTGGGTATAATCCCTGTGGATTCAGTGCTTAGCGCAGTCCCTGGCAGAGCTCATACAGAGCTGTGCTAACAGCCAGGGCAGCCCTCGGGGTGTGCAAGAGGGTTGGGGAGGTCCAGGCCTGGCAGACGTTGCTTTTGCAGGTTGTTTATTTGAGCTGCATGCAGCCTTGTGTTTTTGCCCACGAGTTATCTGTGTTTGAACCAATATTTACTCATGGCTCTGTGTACTGAGATAATCAGCAATCGCTCCAAGTGAGAGTGGAGCTGGAGCTGGCCATCAGACCAGCTTAGCAGCTCGGGTTGTTTACTTAAATAATACTCTTTAATTTCAGGCTGGTGAAAGGTGGCAGCTTGACAGCTCTGGGGAGCCTTAACCCACGCAGCAGGTAGAGCAATGGCAGCACAAGCTTCCCCTGCAGCACACCCACTCTGACCTGCTCACCCACTGCACCTCTTCAGCCAGAAAAAGCCCTGGGGTGGGGAGAGGACTCGTGAGTTGTGCAGGCCTTGGCGTCTCCCCACTGCTTGCTTTGTATGTGACAAACTGAAATCTAAAGACAAACAGTGCTATCACGATATCTAGAAGGGATTGACAGCAAACTGCTGTCACATAAGCCACCAAGCTGCTGACACAGTTAGGAGTGGAGGCTTTAAAATGAAGGCAGCTCTATTTCATTACTAGAATTTTCCAGTTTTCCTAAAGCTGCTTTAGGTACACATTAACTTACCCTGTCTCCTGTTTGTTATTAACTCCAGAAGAAGCTGAGATTTGAAGGGTTCATTTCTTACCCTGCTGGAAAGGCTTGAGCCAGTGCAAAGCAGCACCACTTACACAGCCGTGCTCCCAGAAGCGTCTCAATGCTTGTCCCAGTGTTGTCGAAGTAACTAGGCATTAGGGGAGCTGTTGGTTCCCACATGTCCTGCTGTGTGTAAGCCCAGCAATCCCGCACAGCTACCCAAACTTGACCCACAGAGCTTCCCACTGCAGAGGGAGGGCAGCATAATCTTTGGGGAGTGCAAGGGCACACTTCCACGCAGAGCTAAGTGTGTGCTCATAACTCTTAATAAGCCCAGTAGATTTTCTGAGGTGCTAGAAGATAAAGAGGTAGTGTAAGGAGGGCAAGAAACCTTGAAATTGCTGTTGAGGATTGGACTGATGACCTAGTTAGTTTGATTTCCTGCTTACAATGACTTCTACCAAGTACTTCAGGTGATGATCTGGAAACCTGCTTCAGAGGTGTGCAAAGAAAGGGATCAGTTGTGATTACAGGAAATACACTGGCTGGGCAGGAGTTAAGAACTAGTTATGAAATGGGGGGGGGCAGGGAGGAGGAGTATTTTAACTACTATTTTGTTCCTCCAGACATCCATCTGCTCCCCATATAAATGTTTGCTCTTCCTTGGGTCAGAATGTTCCCAGGTCAGATTGTCTAGTGGATATGTCCTTTCAAATTGCAGCGCAGATTCCAGTGGTGCTCTGCCTTCCTGGTGCTTCCTTGAACTTTTGTCCTACAGCACATTAATTTCTTAGCTCACAGTTCCTTGTTCCCTGTGACGTTTCCGTGTTTGGCTTCACACACAGACGTATCTTCAATCTCTGACTGCCGACAGAGATCAGGCAGCAGAGGAAGCCAGAGATCATGCACTATGCAAGTGGGCAGCCTCAGCCTGTCTTCAGACTCATTGAACTCATTAGGGAGGAAAAGGTAATCAGCTGTCCTTCAAGGAACAGGATGTGGCAGGAAGCAGTGAGAGTCAGCAGGTCAGTCCTTAACAGCTGTCAGAACAATGTGCACAGTACAGCAGCTCTGGAGTTCTGCTACATCAACTCACGAGCTTAATGGGCTACAACATGCACATTGAAACTGGTCCCTGCGGAGACCAGAGTGCAGCTGCAGATCCTGCACCATACCTGTGACCACTTGTATTCACTAGACAGGGAAAATAGCAGCTGTGTTTTACATATTTAAGCTTCCAATGTCACCTCTGAGTCCTTGCAGCCCTCCTGCTCCCTTTGGAGGCTGTAACTTACAGTGCTTGTGTCGCTTGTGGGTGAGGAAACTGAGGCAGGATAAAGGACCAGCCTCAGGCTGTACAAAGGCAGAGGTGGGATGGGAGCTGATGAGGTCTGTCACCTCTGCTCCCTTCAGGCTACCTCCTCTGACCTTGAGTCCTATGGAAAATAGATTGGGGGTTAGGTCACTTTTAAAAGTCTCCTCAATGTACCTTTGAAATACCGAATATGTTCTTTTGAACTTAATTATCTGCCCTTATCCTGTCTCAACTCTCATTGATAATCCTCTTGTTTGCCTTTAAAAATATTTATGGGAGATTATTCTTTGGCAGCGATAGTTACGTTTCATTCTCTTTTCTATTATACTGGGCTTTTCTTTCAATGGATTCCTGATGTCTTGCCATTTGCTATTGTTAGGTTTATGTATTGTGGTTTTAAGATTTTAAATGGGTTCAGAAAAACGCTTGCTTGTGGTAACTGGCTACTTTTCCCCATGAGCTGTTTTGGAGGTGGCCACAAGATATGAATTTGTACAAAGCTGTATTTTTTTTTTAATTTCATCATTCTCATGATGACACTGATTGATGTAACCTCACCTTGTTCCTCTGACCAGCATCACCGCAGCTTGGGTCTTTGTCCAGCAACACCAGTGTGATGGCACTGAAACTCTGGTCAACTGCATCACCACTCTGTGTCCCCGGGCCTTCTAAAACTCTGCATTTTAACAGCGAGCCTTTCCTGAGCCTCACATGTAAAGCAATGCAAGTAAAGTTAATAATATATAAGGCTTGATTAAGCCTTTACTGTTCCAGTTCAGGCTGTGACGCCACAGGCCAGGCCTGGGGCATTCAGGACTGCTTTAGGACTAGTGACTTCATGTGGAGACGTAGAGGTTCCTGCCAACAGCTAGCAGGAGTTCTGTGTCCAGCCTTAAACATAAGCCATCAAGAAGTCTCTGTCATTTTCATCTTGGTGCTGAGCTTTGTATTACAGCTAGTAAGTAGTCGCCATTGCAGAAGGCCATATAACCCATGTTGCTGCCGCAGAAAAGGATCAGCTTTTCAGGAATCACTCCTGACAGATGGTTCTAACCCGTTCATAAAATCCTAGCCCTTCAGTGACAGAGAGGCCAACATTTCCCTGGACAACCCCTTCCAATACTCTTCTGTCTTTGCTACTACAAAGTATTTGTGCTTTTCCCCCTTAAATTCATGACTGCTATTCATCGTTCTGTCTCCGTGGGCAAGATGACTGTTTCTCTTCAGTCTCTCATTGTATTCATACAGGACACATTCAAGCTCTTCAGCCAAAACGCTTCTCGCAGCAGTTCCAATGAGACCTTTTTTCCATGACCTCCAGGTATAACAGCTGTGACACATTTGTTTGGAGGAAACTGTAAGATTAGAAAAAACAAGCTGTTCTTAATTTTCCTTGAAAATAAGCTATTGTTGCAGCTCTCCAAGATCCGTGCTCATTATAGCTCTTTGAAAAGTTACCAATCTCAAGGCACACACAATTTAAGAGAAGCCAGCTCATGTATCTTCTTGGGTTGACTTCTCATCTAGGAAGATTTCAAGAGCTCTTGACACAGCTTTGTGGGCACGTTGAGTGCTGGGACTGGGTTTAGCTTCCCAGTTTCAGAGACTTGTAGGATGTCTTTACTATTGGAGGCATAGGGCCAGAAGAGACTTTCTGAGTCAAATCCAGACCTGCTGTCCATGCATGCTCCTAGGATTCTGTTTGTAAAGGTACAGTGCTCCATCCTCACAGCCTCCAGTGTGTCTCCTGCAAGGCCATCCCCCATGCTGAGTGCTCTAAGAGTTATGAAGCTCCTTTTTATTCCCAGTTATATTTACTCATAGCTGATTTTTTCCCCAGTTGGTTTCATGCCAGCATTGTCCTTACTGCTTAAATAGGCATCTCAGCTCTCTCTGGGGTGTTTTTATGTGTAGCAATCCTACCCCTTCTGGCCTTTGTTTTGTTTGGCTAAGCTCCCTGAGATCATCTTCTGTAGAAACTGCCTTTCTCCTTGTTATGCTTCTTGTCAAGGAGCCATCCAAAATCTTTCCCACACAAGCTATATATGTAAAGCATCTCTCCATGACCACGTAAGTGCCATCACCTCTTAGGTAAAACCCAACTATTTATAAATGTATTTGATGGATATTGGAAAGGAGCTTAAAAAGCACACACATTCAAGGAGAACAGGGAGCAGAAAGCTTGGCATATCTACCTGGGGGGCTGTAATTCAGTGAGGATGGTTTGGGCATGGGCCTTCACAAAAGGGCTGTTGGACCATCACGACTGGATCCTGTGATTCATACGGGTCTATGTTTTGATGTTCTGTTGAAAGCCTTCTTCAGTGGTCTGGCAAAGCACTGCAAACCAGTGCTGGTCTAAACCACTGGCTCGGGAGTACGTAGGTGGAAGGAGTTTGGCAAAACCTTACTCTGCACCACAAAAATGTTGCTTAGAGATCTCCCACCAGGAGTCTGGGCCCGAGTTTAGCTCCTTTGTGCTGATCTTTGGTAAGGAACTAAGAAACTTTTTTGGAGGGGAGAAAACTGGTCACTTTAAGTCTTTCTTCACACTCAGAGCTAAAGTCCTCTTGACATGGTTCCCGTAAGACTGGTGATATTGCCCCTCCAGCCCTGCCTCCCCCAGCAAGCAGCAGGTTTCTGAGGATGGTGGCTTTGGTAGGCACCCCTCGGGGAAGAGGTGCCAAAGGGGCTCAGAAATGATGCTGTGTCTTGAGGTGCAAGAGCAGCAAAGCTGCCAGGCACAAACTTGCACCCTGCTGTCCTGCAGGTCCCAGAGATGGCCATTTAAAAGCTCTTGTAGCTGCAGAAGCCTGGACCTCTTGTTTTGGGCAGATCTGTGCTATAAAAAACAGTTGTTCTTTTCATAGCTGTGGGTAGGTTTGACACCAGAGTACAGGACATATGGGGCTCAGACCCTGTCCTCCTTCCTTCCAAGGGGGATGCAGGTGATGCTCAGACCCAGGAGCTCCTTGCCAGTGACTGAAAGATGTTCTTCCGTCTGAAAGGAATGGGGATGCGAAGGGAATTGAGGACAAAGAGGAAAAAGCATCATGATGAGGCTTTGCTTCACTTGGGGATCGCCCTGCTCTGCTTTAGGGCCCAGGCTTCACTCCCTAGTCTCATGCCTCCAGACATGTTCAGGCCTCTTTGGGCTGTGCTGTTGAGGAGACAGTGCTGAGGATGCTCACGTTTCCTTGCTCTCCTCTGAAGCCTCTCACCGTGAACGTGGTACCAGCATCCATCCTCAGCTCTCTTGCAGGGTGCAGTGCCACTGCTGACTGGTGTTTGCACAGAGGATGGATGGATGGATGGATGGATGGATGGATGGATGGATGGATGGAGAAGGTGATCTCCTATGTCTGTAGGGTGGTTGGAGCTGCTGTGTCAGTGGAGGGGCTGGATCCCAGGAGAAGCCAAGCTGGCAGCACAAGGCTGAAGCAAGCACCACTGCAAAGCAACATGGCCTTCTTTCTCCCCCATCCTCCTGTCCACATGCAGAGATGATGGTGCCACACCAGCAGCATTGGGTGCTTCCCCCTAAACCATCGTGCTTGTTTTCTCCGTGCCCCTCTTCTCTCCCCAAGCCAGCCCATGTACCTGGGCAGGGGTGAGGCTGGGCCGGGGCTGAGTAAGGGTGACTCAGAGCCGGGTTCAGCCATCCCCTGCCCGCACAGGGAGAGGAGCTGGAGCGGGTCCCACCTCGTGGCGTTAGCATCTCATCCCCCACTCCTCCTCCCTGTCACCCCGCACCTCGGCTCCTCGCTACCGGCGGGTGGAGCAAGACTAAACTGGTCTCTGCATGCACATCGCCTTTGTCTGGTGGGGATGAACATAAACTGCTGGAGGGAAGCATTTTAACGATGAAAACCATGCGGGGCTCGATTGTTCCCTGCATCCATGGAAAATTACTCCTGCTCACTCTCCCCTTTTACTTGAGCAGCTCCAAAACACGCTCATGGGGAGGGTGAGGAGGAAGGAGGTGATCGTGCCTTTGGGGTCAGATCTGCTGCTTTATATGTGTTTTTTCCCCCCCTGCCTCTAAATGATTTATTCCAAAAGCCTCTCGCCTTTGTGTCATTGGGAAAAACACACAGCAATCAGCAAGCGTTTTGGGACCAGCCATTTACATGTCACTGGGAAAAGAATAGAAATGAATCCCTGACATCCCAGCGATGCAGCTCCAGCCCCCATCCCTCCCTCCCTTTCCATCTGGCACAAGCAAAAGCAGATGGGAGAGGTGGCTGTGGCAGAGGGTGCTGGTCCCCCTGCCCATGAGGTCTGTGGTCCAGCCCTGAGCACCCATCAGATGTGAGCTCTGCTGCAGCAGGGGCACTTCCCTGGGCACGGCCATGGGGCACAGGCTCAGGCACAGGGTGGCACACTGGCCATGGGCACCACTGGTGCCAGTGGTCATCCCAAGAACCTGCCTAAGAGCTCTGTGGGTCCATTCATCCACCCATCCCCTCCACAGCTCTTGTCTGCTGGGGCTGACCAGGCGCTCTCCTCCTGCCTTTTCCCCATGGATTTGCTTTGCCATGGTGCTCCATTTTTCTTTCTTTCTTTGCCTTTTTTAGATCCTGCCTTTTTTAACCCAAATTTCTGGCTCATTTGCTCACTTATATCCTTGATTCATTTCCTTCTTTTTATATTTTCCCCCTCCCTCCACTCCCAGTGCTGCCCAGGTTCCCTCTTTAGCTCCTGCTCTCATTCTCATTGTATTTTCTTTGTTGTGATAATGTTCTCAGGAGTAAGAAAAGGCTTTCACTGGCAGGCAGGGCTGCCTGGGCTCACTGTTTTAATTCCCTGGGCAAACCCTGCCTTACATTACTGCTGTGCTCCCTTCTCCAGCCGATCCCTGTGCTGTGAGGCATGCACCAGCCCCACCAGCTGCCTCCAGTTCTCTACACTGTGGGGATGGAGATGGGAAAGCTCAGGGCAGAAACCTTCACAGGACCTGGCTCCGTGCTGGATTTGTCCCCAAAAAACATGGAAGATGGGAACAGATGCTGTAGGTCAACTGAGAGATTGCTGCTGTTGCCAATCACAAGTGGTGGGTGCCCAGAGGAGGAAGGCAGCAGCATGGATGATGTATTGCAAGGGGAATTAAGCTAAATACATGGAAATTCTAGGCTGGGTATCGAGGAGGATTTCTGCTTGAGGGATGTAGCAAATCAGTGGATCACATCTTGAGACAGCAGGAAAACCTGTGGTTTGGAAGCTGAACTGAGCACAGCTCTGGAAGATACTGTTGTATGGTTGCGGATGGTGGATTTAGGGTTAAACCTTGCGACAAAAATGTGAAGTTCTCCCAAAAGCTCACCTAGGACTTTCTACAACCTGGCTTAGTGATTTAATTACATTTCTTTTTATGTGCACAGCAAATATCATTCCCTCTATTGACAGAAAGGGAAGCTGCAATGCAAGGTGGGGGGATTGCTCCTGGTCAGAGCCACAGCAGGTCCAGGCTCGGTGTTCAGCATCGCTCAGCCTGTGGCTCTGCCCCAGACCCTCCTGTATGATTGTCTCCAGCCTGTACACTTCAGCCCCATCCTATTGCAGGAATGCAAAGGGCTGCCCGGACAGGCTGATCTTCTCTCATCTGTGGTGTGAGCTGGTGCTTATCTTCAGACATCCCCCTTGCATAGGTATTCCTGGCACTGGCAACGCTTTTTGCACCCAAGAGTCTTGGGTTGGGCTTTTTTGCATGTGTTTTTGCCTTTTCAATTTGTTTTCTTCTGCTTTGAAATCC